ACGTGGCTATTCGCACCCTAGGTAACATTGTGAATTCTTATTTTTCGATATTAATTTAATGGGAGTAAATTGGTACTTTACGTTAGTCGGTTTGCAGGCAATTTTCAAAGGTTGCAGAGAGTGTTCATTTCTGTCCTTTGCTTATTTATATCTTGTGGTCTCAATAGACTACATTTCTTACCAGTTTTCATGAGTGCAGCGCTGGGTAAAGAATTTAGTCACCGAAAACCAGAGCTGTGACTTTCCCCCCAGATTCTGTTTTATTTTTAATCGTAAAGTGCTAATTTTTATAAGTTTAGCATTTTTGCATAATGTTTTACAGTCATTTTACACTCTTGTTTTTTTTTCTTTTTTTGAGACTTCTTCAAAAACGTTAAAGTGTAGACGGTCCTCCCTGTTAAAGACATTTGATAAGAGGGTAACCTAACTTAGGATAGGCTTTTAGGTTTTAAACTCTCAGTTTACTTTTTAATTTATCTGGAGGTTATTGTGATGTGAAGTGAGATTCCAAGCTCAGTTTTCTTCCCAAATATTGAAATCAGTCTTTTAATTTCCACTTATTGGTTTTCCTTTGCAGTCCACACACACACACACACACACACACACACACACACACACACACACACATTCCTTTATGTAATTTTACAGATAAGAGTATTGAGACATCGAGAGGCAAATTAATTTTCATGGAGTCACCCGGTTAAAGGAAGATCTAAGAGGCATCCCATTTCTGTGGATTCCCAATTCAGTGCAGTTCCATGCATCGCATAATACTCTATCCCTTCTCTCATTGGACACCACAATTATGACATCACTTATTTCCACTGTCCTTCCAATTAGACCTACACCATCCAATATGGTAACCACCAGTCACATGTGGCTACTGAGGACTTGAAATGTCGCTAGTCCCAACTGAGACATGCTGCAACAATCAAACACACACCGGTTTTAAAGACTAAGTGTGAGAACAAGAACGTAAAATATCTCATGAAAACTTTTTATATTGAAATGATAATATATCAGATATATTGGATTGAAAAAATATTAACATTAACTACACCTATTTCTTTTCATTATTTGTTTTTAATTTTCATTGGAGTATAGTTGATATACAATGTTGTGTTAGTTTCAGGTGTACAGCAAAGTGAATCAGTTATACATATACATAGATCCACTCTTTTTTTTTTTTTTTTTAGATTCTTTTCCCATAGAGGCCATTACAGAATACTGAGTGGAGTTCCCTGTGCTATACAGCAGGTTCTTATTAGTTATCTATTTTATGTATAGTGGTGTGTATATGTCAGTCCCAATCTCCCAATTTATCCCTCCCCCAACCTTATCCCCAGGTAACCATAAGTTTGTTTTCTACATTCATGTCTCTACTTCTGTTTTGTAAATAAGTTCATTTATACCCTCTTTTCACTATTTTTAGTGTGGCTATTAGAAAAATAAAAATTACATGTGTGGCTTGTATTATGTTTCTATTAGTACTGAAAATTAGACAGTCAACTCTATACGGAGACTGCATTTTGTTTTGTTTTTTCTCACCATCTTATCATGGAACCAAGAAGGATCCTGTGGGGCCTTCCTGGGGACAGACTCCTATCTCCCCTGCCTGCCTCTTTTTTGTAGAAAACCTTTAGCCTCCTAGGCCTTCCCTGAGTTACAAAGAGCAACTTTAATCAGAGAAGCTAGAAAATGCAGAAACAAAGGCCAACAGTTAAGCAAGATAAAGTAATAATCATTTAACCATAAAATAAAGGCAAGGACCTTTTTGTTCCTCCTCAAGGCTGTAGATAATATCCTGAGACAATCCTTGAGTTGTTTTGCAGGTAATAAAACCCCCACCATGTGGAAGAAGTTAATTGCTGACCACCAGCACATAGAATCCACGTGGGTAGGAACTAGAAGGTTGATGATATTGACTCTAGGAATACCACCTGGTTATCTCACTACCACCAAGTCAGAAGAATGTCCAAGAGCCATTTAAGCACCCTGCAACCCTCTGCCTCACCTTGCCTTTAAAAACCCTTCACTGAAAGCCATTGCGGAGCATGACCTGCCTGTTCTCCTTGCTTGGCCTTGCAATAAATGCTGTACTTTCCTTCACCACAACCTGGTGTCAGTAGATTGGCTTTGCTGTGCGTTGGGCAAACGGACCCAAGTTTGGTTCAGTAACAATCATAGCAATTAGCACTGTTTGCTGCACATAATAGACTCTCATTAAATATTTGTTAAATGAATGAGTGTGTGAATATACAACTACAACGACACTCCCCTTGAAAGGATGTGATTCTCAAAAATCATGCCGGTAGAGTTGTTTTTTTTTCTTCCAAGCTGAAGAGGTTGGTTAGGTCATAGAGTAATGATCAAAAACGGTCCCTTAGTAACTAGGGATCAACAGGAAACAACCCAGGAGGCCACATAGGCAGCCTGTTTAAGAATCCTGAATTTTCAACAGAGGAGTCTTACCCCGTGGTTCTGGGGGCACCTCAGCTGAACACAGACAAATCTTAGGCTGCCATTCACACAAATGCCATTCTCTCTCTCTCTCCCTCTCTCTCTCTCTCTCCCTCTCTCTCCCTCTCTCTCTATCCCTCTCTCTCTCTCTCTCCCCCC